GTGGTAGGATGGACTGAGCTCTAGCAGTTGACATGGTAATTACGATAAGAGGTGGGGGCCAGGGCTTTCGAATCCATAGCTGGGGGCCTAGTAAGGATGTGGCCTCAGCAACTTCCTGTAACCACAATGGGGGGCTGCCTGGACACAGGGCTGTGAGCCGCCAGAGGACATGCGGCTTGGGGCGGATGCTGAAGGGAAGGGAGGAGCCCTGCGTGCGGTCTCAGAGGGTAGTAGACGTGTTCCCTGAAGAAGAGCCAACGAAGGAAGGCCTGCCGTCCTTGACCAAGAACTCCTTGCTGACCAGGCCATGGATGGCCATGATCCTGAGGAGTCCGTGGCGAAACTTCTGGCCAATGAAGACATAGATGAGAGGATTGAGGCAGCTGTGGAGGAAGCCCAGGATCTCGGTGGCATCCAGGGCCCGGCCGATGTCATTGCGGCGCTCACAGGTCTCCGCGATCACCCGGACCCTCATGAGAGTGTCTGCAACCAGGACCAGGTTGTAGGGCAACCAGCAGAGCAGGAAGACGAGCACGACAGCAAAGATGACCCGCATGGCACGGTGCTTCTGCCCCATGTGGGCCGCAAAGAGCGTACGCAGGGTGAGTCCATAGCAGATGAGCATGACCAGCAGGGGCAGGAGGAAGCCAAAGGTCTGGGGCAGGACCCGCAGCACCATGCGCCACTTCGTTGTATTGGCACCCATGTCCTCGTAGCAGACTGCGCTGGCATAGGGTGGGTGGATGGCCCTTCGGAAGACGAAGATGGGCAGGGCCAGGATCAAGGACAGGGCCCAGATGCCTAAACATATGAACCTGACCCAGTGCCGCTTCTGGGTCAGCGTGCGTGTGGCATGGACGATGGCCAGGTAGCGGTCCACGCTGATGCAGGCCAGCAGTAGAATACCACTGTAGAAGTTGACTTCCTTCAGGAGTGAGACCACCTTGCACAGGGCTGTGCCAAAGATCCAGCCCTTTGCCTTGGAGGTGGCCCAGACAGGCAAGGTCAGGGCGAAGAGCAGGTCAGCCATGGCCAGGTTCAGCAGGTAGACATCGGTGACGGAGCGGCCCACCCGGCTGTATAAGATGACCAGCATCACCAGGGAGTTTCCCAGGAGGCTCAGCAGGAAGACCAGGGCATAGATGACGACCACGGCATACTTGTTGATATCCAGAGATTCCGGGCGGCATGGGGCAGAGTCTGGTAGAATAGAGGGCAGGTCAGTGTTGTAAGTGTAATTACCAAAATCTTCGTCACTGTAGTTTTCCCAGTTAAATCCTTCCATATTTGAAGTACACTTAATTTCCGGCCTAGAGAAGAGAGACGAGGGTTACTGCACAATAAATCTCCCCAGATTCTAGTCTGTCTGCTCACAACATTTAGATAGGATTCTTTGTGTTAGCTTGTATATTACATGGAAGTAACTTTCACTTCAAGAAATGGCCGGAGCACTAAGATTTTGGAGACATATTTAGTAAAAAATGATACATTTCACAAAAAGTGTCTAGTTCCCTTCAACATCAGAGAGAGGTTCTTTTTTTTTTTTTTTTGCGGTACGCGGGCCTCTCACTGCCGTGGCCTCTCCCGCTGCGGAGCACAGGCTCCAGACGCGCAGGCTCAGCAGCCATGGCTCACGGGCCCAGCGGCTCCGCGGCATGTGGGATCTTCCTGGACCGGGGCACGAACCCGCGTCCCCTGCATTGGCAGGCGGACTCTCAACCACTGTGCCACCAGGGAAGCCCTGGAGAGAGGTTCTTATCACTTTCCATAACACTGCTATCACCCAAACCACTGTTGAAACTTCCCCTTGGATAATCCCTACAGAACATGTCTTGGATCCTCGGTGGTGGGCATCTCTGACTACTGAGGCTGATTTTAATGTCAGAAACATGAGGTACCATTCAGTTCTCAATCTGCGGGACTAAGCAGGCAATCCAATTGTGTTAGATCCCTAGGAAAAGATCATCAAGGCTTGACTATAAACCTAAGAGATGAGTCCCTTTGTCCAACTTTCTGAAAGTTATTTTAAAAGAAGTGTTCTGGAAAAACAGTCTGAGTGATAGCAGCATGGAGTTTCAGGATGCTCGAGCTAAGAGAAAGTTGACTCCACTAGTACAGCCCAGCATTTTTCTGCTGAGATGCGTGGGGCCTGCTCTGGGCATACTGGTGTAGTTTGAAAAAAATATATCAAAAATCATAAGCAGGTGGCTGACTGATTCTCCACATGGGTGGAAATGTAACAGATTATCTTGGGAGCTCTGAACAGGCATATTTTGCCATGTAGGGGTGAGCAGAGAAAGGCAGTATGTTCCCAGCCTAAGGAGGAGGGGCAGCAGGCAGCAGAGAAGGCAGGTGGAGACACACGATCCTTGTTTTGGTGGCTTTCAAGTCCTGCTGGGGACCCTTCCTGCCTTGCTAGTGAGTGCCTTCTTCCAAACCTGACTCGCCAGCACACCTAGCTAACCTCTGTGGGCTCTGCCCTTGTTATGGGGGTAGCAGAGAGCCTTCTTTTGGGGGAAGCTGCAGCCACCCTGAAAGATTATCCCAGTTTGCAAAGAGGAAGTAAAGTGACCAGCTACTGAATTAGCTTCCTTTTGAACCACAAAATATATCAGCATCATACCATTTCTTTATAACAAGATATGGCCATCCTGTTACCCTATGCCAGTCTGTAGCCCACCTCAACATGGAACCCAGTGTTAAAGTGAAGAACATAAAGTAAAAAGGCTCAGGACCTACCTCACACTCACTAGCATGATCATAATTTAAAAAGGACTGTAACGATGGTGATGAGGATGTGAAGAAGTTGAACCCCTCATACGTTGCTGGTGGGAATGTAAAATGGTGCAGTTGCTTTGGAAAACGGTTTGGCAATTGTTAAGAAAGCTAAATGTAGAGTGACCATACGACCCAGTGATTCCACTCCTAGTATACCCAAGAGAATAGAAAACATACGTCTGCACAAAAACTTGTATGTGAATATTCTTAGCAGCATGCAGCGAAAAAGTGGAAGTAATCCAAATGTCCATCAGCTGATAAACGGATAAGCAGATTGTGGTATACACATACAAGGGAACATTATTCAATCGTAAAAATTAATGAAGGGCTTCCCTGGTGGCGCAGTGGTTGAGAGTCCGCCTGCTAATGCAGGGGACGCGGGTTCGTGTCCCAGTCCGGGAAGATCCCACATGCCGCGGAGCCGCTGGGCCCGTGAGCCATGGCCACTGAGCCTGCGCGTCCGGAGCCTGTGCTCCACAACGGGAGAGGCCACGACAGTGAGAGGCCCGTGTACCGGAAATATAAAAAATAAAAAAAATAATGAAGTACTGATACAGGCTACAACATGGATGAACCTTGAAAACATTATTCTAAGTGAAAAAAGCCAGACACAAAAGGCTTCATAATGTATGATTCCATGTATGTGAAATGTCCAGAAGAGGCAAATTGTTAGAGACAAAAAGTAGATTAGTGGTTGCCAGGGGCTGGGGGCGGGGGAGTGTTACTGAGTACAGGGTTTCTTTTTGGGGTGATGAAAGTGCTCTGGAATTAGACAGTGGCAATGATTATACAATTTTGTGAATATAGATCTTCCTCAACTTACGGTGGGGTGATGTCCCAGTAAACCTATCATAAGTTGAAAATATCCTAAGTCGAAAATGCGTTTAATACACCTAACCTACTGAACATCGTAGAGTAGCCTAGCCTACCTTGTACGTGCTCAGAACACTTACATTAGCCTACAGTTGCGGAAAATCATCTAACGCAAAACCTATTTTACAATAAAGTGTGGAATACCTCAAGTAATTTATTGAATACTATACTGAAAGTGAAAAATAGAGTGGTTGCTTGTATGGGTAAAGAATGGCTGTAAGTGTATATCGGTTGTTTATCCTCATGCTTGCATGGCCGCTGCCCAGCATCATGAGAGAGTATCCTATTGTACATTGCTAGCCTGGGCAAAGATCAAAATTCAAAATTCGAAGTATAGCTTCTAGCTAAGGAGTATCACTTTTGCACCATCATAAAGTTGAAAAATTTTAAGTTGAACCATTGTAAATTGGGGACCATCCGTATACAAAACCCCACTGAATTGTATACTGTAAATTGGTGACATTTTTCAAAAAGTTTTTTATTGAAGTATAGTTGATTTACAATCTTGTGTTAGTTTCAGGTGCACAGCAAAGTGACTCAGTTACACATACACATTACTTTCTCCTTCAGATTCTTTTCCATTATAGGTTATCACAAGACACTGAATATAGCTCCCCATGCCATGCAATAGGTCCCTGTTGTTTATCCATTCTACACACAGTAGTGCGTATCAGTTAATCCCAAACTCCTAATCCATCCCTTTCCCCTCCATTTCCCCTTTGGTAACCATAAATTTCTTTTCAGTGTCTGTGAGTCTCTTTCTGGTAATTTTTTTTTTTTTTTTAGCAGTACGCGGGCCTCTCACTGTTGTGGCCTCTCCCGCTGCAGAGCACAGGCTCCAGGCGCGCAGGCTCAGCGGCCCTGGCTCACGGGCCCAGCCGCTCCGCGGCATGTGGGATCCTCCCAGACCGGGGCACGAACCCGTGTCCCCTGCATCGGCAGGCGGACTCTCAACCACTGCGCCACCAGGGAAGCCCTCCTTCTGTTTTTTAAATAAGTTCATTTGTATCATTTTTTTAGATTCCACATATCAGTGATATCATGTGACATTTGTCTTTCTCTGTCTGACTTACTTCACTTAGTACGATAATTTCTAGGTCCATCCATGTTGCTGCAAATGACATTTTTCATTCTTTTTTATGGCTGAGTAGTATTCCACTGTGTGTGTGTATGTGTGTGTGTTTGTGTATGCACATAAGATGACTTTTATAGTATGTGAATTATATCTCAATTAAAAAAGATTAATCAAAGGTCCTAGGAAGCTTTTCTCTTTAGCAGAAGAAACTGTTACTGTCAATCATACATAGCAAAAAAAAAGCTAAGTGAGTTTAGGGAAACTGGAGAAACAATGCCCCTTTTCCCTAGAGTGAGAGAATTCTTAGCCTTCACCTTCCTGAGAAGGTATTTCTCCCCTAAGTGATGGGAGCCAGATAAATTGCCTTCTCAGATAGAGCAGATTAGATCAGTCTGTGAACCTAAACGATGTGATGATAAGGATGGGGCCCAGTCTGGCCAGGAGGCAGGGACGGTAGTGAGAGGGGTGGATAGTACAGCTGGCTCAGCCAGTGCTGCTGACAAAGCCTGCGTGAAATCACTGACTCTGCAGCCCCAAGGTCAAGAGCAAGTCTGCTCAGAAGCCCAGGGTAATGTCTGATGCAGCCACAAGGTGGGTCACTCCCGGGAGAAGATGATCAGAGATGTTCCTAAGGGAGCCCGCGACCTAAGAGAAGACCACCTCTGCGAGTGGCTACAGAGCACGATGGGTGCAGACAGCTTGTGCCCTTAGAGAGGAGAACCCCACATTTACAAGCATTGGCCGCGAGAAGGCAGAGCTGTGGCAGCCGCAGAAGCTGCCTCGCAGAGGAAGCAGCAACAGCGAAGCATGTTTCACAGACAAGTCCTCATTCTGGATAATCCAGTGCTCGGCTGTGCCGGAGCTGGGCTGGAGGTGTACAGGCGAACTCCCGCTCCCAGACGTGAAGGCTCAGCTTCAGGGTCCAGAGGGAGACCATGCAAGTTAGGACAGAAGGAAGAGAACTCAGAAACGGGAACCAGGCCAGGGCAATGACCTCCAGCCACTGGAGGGTGAGGGAGGGGAATGTTTCGTTGTTGTTTGGTTGGTTTTTAATTTACCAGTCTCTGGTGAGGATGTTTTGACGTTAAAGGGAGAAACTAAGGGAAGGGAGATACACATCTGAGACCTGCTTTGTGCCTCACAGGTACATGGTCTCATTATAAATAGACAGTCACAGCAAGGTTCAGAAACCAGCCTGTGGTCACAGAGTCTCTTAGCGCCACAGCCCGGATTCCAACTAGGTGTGAATGGCTTCACATGCTATTTTCAGTCTACAGATATACTTCTCACAAAAAAAAAAAAAAAAAAAATCACAGCTCATGTATCAAATATAGCTGTAAGCTAAGTTCTTGAGATATCATGAAGTTAACCTGGCTCTGGTTCGCTCCCACTGTTTGATGTTTTGTGCATTGCTTTCTTTGCTATTCCTTAGGCCCAGAACGAGAGGAACAGCCCTTACAGGAATCAGAAACCAAATGCCCTTGAACTGACTGGCCCCTGCTGACCACCCAGTCATGTTCTCGGTAACGGAGCAGGAGATCCCCTCAGTGAATGGAACTGCCAGCCCCTTAATGACTCATGATAGTTCAAAAACTCATGGAAAGGATGATTCTAATTTACTTCATGAAAATGCTACATTTACAAAAGCCCAAACATTTAAGGCAATCTTTTTAACAACGGCAACACAATAACAACAACAAATGCAAGGTTATTTGTATACAATTCCAGTGTCCTTTCTCTCTAGAAATATAATCCACACATATTTACATTTAGTATAGGGGAAGAGGGCCTCAGTAGTATCTGGATCTTCCTCAGACCCAATCCTAGCCAAGGCAGGGAGAGCTGGCTGGGTCCGCAAGAGAAGGCGGTGGGCAGCCAGTTGCCCTAGGTGCTTGTTGGACAGAGGTGTAGGGAAGAGGGGCAGAACCTCTCCCTTTGGGGATAGGGAGGCCTAGAGAAAGAATGGAGAGACTGAGGAGTGTGGGGATAAATGGAGGGGATAAATGGAGGCTGGGTGTCAAGGGGGGGACAGAGAACAGAGACATTCTGGAAGGGTGTTCCAAGACTTACCAGGATTCTGGGCTTGTCACCTGTGCGACACCTCCAGGAAGGCAGATGTGCCTGACACAGAGGGCGGCGGTGGTGAGAACACAGTGGAGGAAGTGAGTGGTGGATTAGATTGCTCAACTCTGGGGTGGAGCCCCTGAGGGTGCGGGATGCCTTTGATAGCTTGAATAATTAATTCCCAGGTCAACTCTTTGATAACTAGTAGTCATTTTATTAACTGGCAGAGTTCACACTGGGAAGGGGCCTGTGGGGTTTTCTAGCCAATCTTTCCATTTCACAGATGACGAAACTGAGGCCCACCCAAAGGAAGTAGTTGGCCCAGGACAGCACGGATTTCTCTTATCTTTGCCCTGAGCTCAGCAGCCCCTGGCTCTTTCAGCCACCCTGTCTGACTCTCCCCGCAATCCAGCTGTCTCGGGCATCCCACGCTTACAACCCAGCAGCACTACTGCTCTTAAACATCTTTCCCATCTCAAAGGGGAACAGCTCTTTAAGGCAACAGAAACGGAACTAGCTTCTGGTGCGTCTGGTGGCTTTCTTCCCTGGACTTAATGCCTCTTGTCTCCACCCCATTCACCCTGGGCATCCTTAAAGCCTCACAGATTCCTTCTCCATGCCACACCCCTTTGAGAACTCCCACCCCCAAATGGGGGCCCGGTTCCACCTCACCTGGTCTTTCACCTCCCTCCCCAACCATCTGCTCTGACCGCATGCCTCTCTTAGGGCATTGCTACTTTTTCTTAGCTTGTCCACTTGGAATTGGATCTGCAGTAGCTACTACCTTTGGAACCAAGACCATCTAATTTGGAAAGAAAGCCATTTGGTAAAAGTTAAAATCCCACCCAAGTTCAAATACATTTTTGAAAACAGTGTTGAGTGACACCAAGAATGTATTTTGTCACATTTGCTGTTGATAATAATTGAAAGGATAAATCCAGGCACAGCAGTGAATGCTAATTCACTGCTCCCTCCTAAGCCCCCACCCCAGTGATTGATGCCTCAGCCCCTCCTCTACTCCTTACCCTGACCTGTTGCTCCATGCATCCCAGGGCCCACACAGTGCTCAAAGCCTGTGGCAAACTCATCTAAGCTGCCTACCCCCAGGAAAGAGCCTTTGAGTCTAGCTATTTAGCAAACGTTCTTTGTCACCTTTCTCTTTTCCATTGTGGAGAACACAGTGACTCCTTGCCAGGTGATGCTAAACCCAGGCAAAGGCCCAGGACACACAGAGAGAGGCCATGAGAACAGCAGTTAAGAACTCTGCTAGCCTAGCAACTCTGGGCAAGCGACTTTTCCTTTCTGAGTCTCAGTTTACTCATCTGTAAAATGAGGCCAATGATAGAATCTAACTAATTGGGTTGTGCTGAGGATGAAATGGGGGATTACCTGTAAAGCCCTTAAGACACATATAAAGCACGATGTTAGCATTTATTGATGTGATTATTATTACTGAAATAGTTAATTAACTAATAGCATGGGTTCTTTCCCACTACATCCCCAAGCGAGAGAAAGCATCGGGTCTGCTTTCGGGGCTGACTTCCAGGTACATCTTAATTTGCTTTAACCTGAATAGCAATAGTCGCGTTAGCTCTAACGTTGAGTGCCTGCTAAGGCCTAGCTTCCAGGGAAAGTGCTTTTCAGAATCTGTATCATTTAATCCTCACAACAACCCCATGGAGTGTGCACTTTCTGAATGAGGAAACTAAGACTCCGGAGTTAGGCAACTTACCTAGAGTGACGCAGATGAACTGACTTTTAAGCAGTTTTTGAGACTTTTTTTTTTTTTTAATCTGACTTCAAATCTGCTGTTGTGTGCACTGCTGTGTGGGGCTGAGCTCCACTAAGCACCTCTCTGTCCCAGACAACTGGGTGTGCAAAGGACAGCCCAGATTTGACATTTCCTAACCATCCTACTTCTTGATTTTCATTAGATTGATTTCATTTCCACTGAGCCCACAGCAGGCCTACCAATGGTGGGGTGAATACAGAACCGGCATCCAGTCCTGATTCTGCTGTTAATGGTCAGGGTGAGCTTGGGCAGGTCATTTCCCTCTGTGCCTCAATGTGGTCCCCTGGAAAATGAGATTAGCCACATGTGGCTACTTTAATATGTTTGTAAATGCACTTCATATTTATATTTAAAGTGCATTATACTGTGCAGTTAAAAAAATTTATTTTTGGCTGCGTTGGGTCTTCGTTGCTGCACGCAGACTTTCTCTAGTTGTGGCTAGCGGGGGCTACTCTTCGTTGTTGTGTGCAGGCTTCTCAATGTGATGGCTTCTCTTGTTGCAGAGCTCAGGCTCTAGGCACGTGAGCTTCAGTAGCTGTGGCATGCAGGCTCAGTAGTTGTGGCACACGGGCTTAGTTGCTCTGCAGCACATGGGATCTTTCTGGACCAGGGCTTGAACCCGTGTCCCCTGCATTGGCAGGCAGATTCTTAACCACTGCACCACCACGGAAGCCCCTTAAATTTAAATTGATTAAAATAAAATAAAAATTTAGTTTCTCATTTCAAGTGCTCAATAGCTACATGTGACTAGTAGCTACCATATTGGAAAGTGCAGATACAGGACATTTCCATTACTGTAGAAAGTTCATTTGTACCGTGCTGTCTTGGTGCAGACTTATTTTGTTTCTGCAATTCACCACCTCAGTTCTCAGGGCACTCAAAGGAGGAGACTGAAGTTTCCAAATTCCTTCTATCAGAAATAGTCCCCAGCAGCCCGAAGACCGAACTGCTCACCTACCTGTTGTTGCTGCTACAGCTGCTGTGTTATTGGAGTGGCCACTGATGCCTCCTCTGTGACTCAGGGCTTGATAGCTGTCACACGTGTTGGACAGGAAAAAAGCAAAGCAGCCTTTACGTGGAAAGTTCTGACCCAGGGCTGCTGAGGGGGAAATCCAGGAGGCCCACCAGGGGAGGTGTTCCTGCAGAGGAGCAACGAGGTCTGTTCTGGGACTCTGACTGAAGGCCAAGCCTCCTCCTGGCAATTGTGTAATGAGAGCTGGGAATTTTCATGCCTTCTTGTCTAATGGCTTCTGCAAGAGTCTGCCAATCTGAAGGTGGAGTTTTACCTAGTCTACCTCTGTCTCGTTTTCAACGTACACCTCCTTCTTTACAAGGGAGATGCAGGCAACCCTAGCCCCCAGCTGACACGTAAGCCTGAATTTGTGTGTACACTTTCTTCCTTCCTTCTAGGAGCAGCGTGAGAAGTGTCCTTCCTTCTCTTTCGGTCCTGCACCTGGCTGTGGGACCCCACTGCATCTCACGTCCTTGAAGGTCTTGCCTTGCGCACCCTCTGCTTCTCAACCACCTCTTTCCCTGAACTTGCATATGTCTTTCTCTCCCTCCCTCTGTTCTAGAACTCCTTTAGCGACCACTCCCCCTGGGCCCTCCATTTCACAGGCAAGCTTCTTGAAAAAGCAGTGAGCAGTTGCCTTTTCCACTTTGCCAACTTCTTGTTCACTGTTCAACCCACTGCAACCAGCTTCCTGCCCACTGTACTGAGGAAACAGCTTTTGCCAATGTTCCCAGTGACCTAGGGTTGCTAAATCCAGTAAACTCTTTTCTTAAATAAAGCTGTTTTAATATTATAAAAATAAACTGTGCATATTGTAAAGAAAACAGGTGGTAAAAAGCATATAAATTAAAATGTGATTCTCTTCCATCCTTCTGTTCACCTGTATCTTGTGAATATTTTTCCAGACTTCCCCCATGCACATACAAACATGTTTTTTCCTTCTTTAATAAAATACTATTTAACTAGTTATATTGTTCTGCACTTTAACAATGTATCATGTACCTATTTCACATCAGTACATATAGATCCATCTTACTCTTTTCAGTGATGACATAATGGCCCATGGCAAGGACATAACCTGACTTATTTGATAATTACCTTATAGATGAATATTTAGGTTCTCACTATGAACATTTTTGGATATTGGTCTTTGGAAACTTGTACGAGTGTTTCAGTAGCTTAAGTATAATTTTGCTGGGTCATAACTGTGCATGTTGATATGTTGATAAATACTACTCATTGCAGTTCAAAAAGACTGTTGCAGGGTTTCCCTGGTGGCGCAGTGGTTGAGAGTCCGCCTGCCGATTCAGGGGACACGGGTTCGTGCCCCGGTCCGGGAAGATCCCACATGCCGCGGAGCGGCTGGGCCCGTGAGCCATGGCTGCTGAGCCTGCGCGTCCGGAGCCTGGGCTCCGCAACCGGAGAGGCCACAACAGTGAGAGGCCCGCGTACTGCAAAAAAAAAAAAAAGACTGTTGCAGTGTATTCTCCTATTACCAGTTTATAAAAGGGCCTGTTACCCTGTCTACTCATACTGCCTCATACTTGTCAATCATGGTAAAATACCTTCTCCCAGCCTGCAGTATGCTTTTTAACTGTATTTACGGTGAAATGGATACCGTTCAAGCCTTATCTTACTTGATCTCTGAACCATTTAACCCCACTGATCCCATTGTTTTCTTATTGCTCAGAGAACTTCTCTTGGTCTTATTTGTTACTTTTTTTCTCAATTCATTCCTCAAATAGGCATGTTCCTCAGAGTCTGCCTCGGTCCTCTTCTCTACCTGTTCTCCCTAGACTAGTCCTCCTGCCTCCTTGGCTTCAGCCCCAACCCAGTATGTGCCAGTGTCTCCTACACCTATAGTTCTCAGCTTCTCTTCTAAGCTTCTCTTTAAGCTCAAATTCTTACATTTAATCACTTCCTGAATCTCCCCTGAGGCCCCACAGATGCTGCAAACTCAACATGTAGAAAACCGGTCTCACGGAATTCCCTGACACGGGTGCCCCTCCTCCTTAACCCAGAAACAGGCGTGCCCCTCACGCTTGCCTTGCTCTTCCTCTCCACGGACGCCATCTCCTTAACATCTCTCTTGATTATCTTTTCCTCACCGTCTTCACTGATGGTATTAGGTCCCGCTTTATTTTCTCTTGCCTAAACTACTGCGTTCATCATGGGATGGCTGTGATTTCAGAGCTAGACTGTCTGTGTTAGGATCCCAGCAATGTCAGTGGTTGTAGACCTCAGGCAAGTTATTTCATCTCACTGGACGCAGTTTCATCATCTGTAAAATGGGGATAATGGGAGCACGCACTGCATAGAATTGTCATGTGGATTAAATGAGTCTATATTTATAAAGCAGTTAGCATGGTGCTTGGCACTGTCGGTTGCTGCTGCTACTTCTACTACCAACACTACCAGACCACTATTTTCCTAAATGCTCTCTGTGTCAAGTCTTTCCTCCCTCAATCCATCCCCCACTCTCTACCAGAACCATCTTCCTAAAATGTGAATTTGAGGGAATTACCTGGTAGTCCAGTGGTTAAGACTCGGCGCTTTCACTGTGGTGGGCCTGGGTTCGATCCCTGATTGAGGAAATAAGATCCAACAAGCCGCACGGTGTGGCCAAAAAAAAAAAAAAAAAGTGAATTTGATCACCCTCTTTCCCTCTTGCAACCCTTCAAAGACTCCCGTTGCCCTCAGGCAGAGTCAAATTCCTGCTATGGCACCTGGCGCCCCTGCATCTGACCCTGTGTGCTTCTCCAGACTTATTTCAGGCCATGCCCTCTTGTATCCTTAACTCTGGCCACAGGGAACGACCTGCAGTTCCCCCTCAGAGCTGTTCTGGTTCCGCTTGGGCCTTGGCACTCATTTCCCTTTTCCTCATCCCCACCCTCTTGGGCTGGCCAGCTCTCTCTCCTTTCCAGTTCAGCCCAGTCGTCACCTCCATGCATTGCCGCCCCGCTCTGTGCTCCTCTGCATCCCCGGGGTTACCTCTACAATGGCATCAATTTCGAGGATTTACAATCATCAGTTTGGCTGCTTCCTCCTCCTTGATGTGAGGTTCTTGAAAGCAGGGATTTCATATATATAGATATATATAGATAG